TGTCTATGTCAACGGCACTCAGTCTAATCCTCCCTCCATAGGCGCAGACAGTAAAGATTCAGTATTAGAAGTTGGTACAGAGTTCGAGTCTGATGAACATGCCTACAAGTCTTACAATAAATATGCCAGGTTGGTGGGTTTTAATGTTAGGAAAGACTGGGTAAATAAGAGTAAGGTACATGGTCAGGTGGTATCTAGGAAGTTCACTTGTTCTAAAGAGGGGTATCGGCGGAAAGACAAAAGAGATGTTAATGTAAAGAAACATCGAAAGGAAACAAGAACTGGTTGCTTGGCGCATATGATCATCACCCGTCAACCTGATGGTAAATATCGGGTTACACAATTTGAAGAACAACACAATCATGGCAATGTAAATTCAAGTATTGCTCAAGCATTACCAGAACAACACAATCATGACAATGTAAATCTAAGTATTGCTCAAGCATTACCACTACAAAGAGAATGTACTGTTCCTGAAGCTGCTGATGCTGACTCGGTAAAAGAGTTAGGATCATTGTCAAAATCGGCACTGGACTCGATGAATAGAGGGTATAGGGTAAGGGAATCTGTTGATAGTTTTGCCTTAGATTTTGAAAATTATCTTCAATCTGAAAGGACTCGAGATATGAAGGAAGGAGCGGTGGGACGTTTGCTGCATTACTTTCAAAGGCAGCACTTTGAAAACCCATCGTTCTTTTACGCAATACAGGTTGATACTGATGATAAAGTGAGTAACATACTTTGGGCTGATGATAATATGGTATCAGATTATGACCATTTTGGGGATGTGGTTTGTCTAGACACGGTTTGCAGAGCAGACAAGAATTGCCTGCCATTTGTACAGTTTGTAGGAGTAAATAATCATAAACAGGTAGTTATCTTTTCTGCTGCACTGTTGTATGATGACACTGTTCAATCTTATAAGTGGCTATTTCAAACTTTTTTGGAGTCGATGTCTGGGAAGAAACCAAAGGCCATTCTTACCGATCAAGATGCAGCAATTGTTGAGGCAATCAATTCAGTTTTACCTGAAACAGACCATCGGATATGCACATGGCAAATGTGCCAGAATGCTCTCAAGCACCTTAACCACATAGTAAAAGATACCGAATCTTTTGCCAATGATTTCAAGAGCTGTATATATGACCAAAAAGATGAGGATGGTTTTGTGTATGCTTGGGGGAATATGCTGGATAATTATGGTCTTCAGCAGAATGACTGGTTAAGATGGATGTTTAGGGAACGAGAGAAATGGGCTGTGGTATACGGCAGGAATACTTTTTTTGTTGACAGAAAAGGCTCACATCTGGTTGAAAGTTTGTTTCATGATTTGAGAAATTACCTATACTCTGACGTAGATGTGCTTGATTTTGTTAAGTATTTCGAAAGGGTGGTAGATGAGCAACGTTACAAAGAAATAGAAGCCAATGATGAAATGAACCGCTGCATGCCAAGACTAATGGGGAATGTGATTTTACTAAAGCATGCAAGTGATGTTTACACTCCAAGGGCATTTGAAGTGTTCCAGCGAGGATATGAGAAGTGTTTGAATATTGTTGTTAACCAATGCAGTGAGAATGGGCCGTTGTTTGAGTACAAAACCAACATATTTGGTAAAAGTAGAGAACACACTGTTACATTCAACTCTTCTGATGATGCAGTTATTTGCAGCTGTAAGAAATTTGACTCTGTTGGGTTTCTATGTAGCCATGCTCTTAAAGTACTTGATCACATGAATATAAAGGTTGTCCCCTCCAAATATATCTTGAAGAGATGGACAAAAGATGCAAGGTTAGGGAGTGCAAGAGAGAATGATGTGCCCTCCATCAGGGATAACCCTAAGCTTGTTGTGGCAAGCCGTTACAAAAATATGTGCGGCCGAATTATTATGTTATCAGCCAAGGCTTCTGAATCCGAGGAAGCATTTCAATTTGCTGTTGGACAACTTGATGAAGTGATGGAAGGTGTGGAGAAAATCTTGACATTAAAACCTCAGGATGCTCAAGCTTTCACCTCAAGTAGCACCGCAAATGCTTCTGATAGTGAACGTGCAGTGATTTTTCCAGATGGAAATGCAATTGAAGATCAGGATGACAATGTAGTAAAAGAAGCAAAGGAAAAAGAGACGGCTGTTTTTGACAAAGGTCAATTAACAAATGTGAATGGTGAATTCTCTAGTACAAAAAGAATTCAGAATGTAGATGCATCCCTACAAAACACTGATTCCTGCATTTCAAGTCCGTCATTGTATGTTTCACCTGAAGGGACAACAGCAAATCCCATTATGCAGGTGAGTCCCGGCTTGCATGTTGTTGCAATTTGCAATTATGGCATGGTAGAGATGCCATGACATGCAACTGTTGTGTTTGCTTTGCTTCGCTCTGATATTAAATATGTAAAGTTTTGATTCTTTCAGTTCTTTTCTTTGTGGCCGGTTTTGATCGTTCCATGTTCATAACACAGGGTTTATACAATTTTGAAGCGAATCAGGTGGTTCAGTGTATGTACCAACAAGATAATCTGGTGATGGAAGAGCAAACCAATCCTAACATGTATCAACCACTGAACTTCTTTTCTAACCAACACGATTCACCTGGCCATTCTCAACTACTGCAGGTACAACACTCAATTGTTCATCTTATTCTGAGCTATTGTTGTATGTGAGTTGTATACTCATTGACATGCAGGAACCTCTGATCAATGGCACATACCAAGAGCCCGTATCAAGCACCCCTGAATTGAGGCAGGTAATTAGAAGTAAAAGTCAAAGACTCGAATAAATTGATTCGTAAGTTTGTTGTTTAAATCATAACAAGTATATGGATGGTAATTATTTTGCTTCATGGTTTCCTGTAGGCAATGGATCTCGATGTCCAACATGCACATTCATCTTCATTCTTGCTTTTGGATCGTGGATAGAGAACTTCTGACAGTCCAATTCTTGTGCTCAAGTAAAGGTGAACGACCATTGAAACTCTCTCTCTCTCTCTCTCTCTCTCTCTCTCTCAAAGAATGTATGTTAAATGTATACTGTACAGTCTCAAAAGCCTATTGTTTTTTCATTTGAAATGCAATACTGGAGTGTGAAGAGGCACTCTTGATGTCATATAAAAATGCATTTGATATTGCACCACCTGGTCAACTCCCATTTTTACAACACAAAATGAAGTTTATAACCTGAACTTGATATACGGAAAACCCAAGTTGTATTATGAACTTGGCAGGGCTTCAATGGAGGCAACCTTTGGTCCTTGAAGGAGAAGCTTGAAAAGCATCCATATGCTCAGGGACCTCAAAAGTCAAGACAACCTTGCTCCATTTTGTAACAAATGGAAGAGAACCACAACCACAGTAGGTTTGCTGCACTTGATCTGTTGATCCAGGATAAACCGAACATTGTCAATTGTTAACCACAGTAAATTCTACAATTACAATTATAGCTGTGACCACTCCCCCGAACAAGGAATATGGGAAAGCATTTCAATGCGCGGGTCCTACTCGTCAACCACACAACTGTGCGACAAAGCTCATCTTTGTCTCTTTAAAATTAAAAATTCCCCAAACTTTAACTCACTCACTACATAATAAATCTTACTTTCATCTCTATCACTCACTCACTTGTCACCACAACAAACACACACTCGCTGGCACTGCCTGCCTAGTGCCTTCTCTATCTCTCTCTCTCTCTCTCTCTCTCTCACAAAGTCCCCAACTTTGCTTTCTGTCTGTTTCTTCTACTTAGAACGGCCCATTCCCCAGCAATGAGACATGGGCTTTTTCCGGCGACTCTTCGGCCCTAAAAGATCCAAAAGCACCACTTCGCCGACGGCCAACCACAACAAGGAAAATAGGACTACTTCTGCCTCTAACAAACAAAAGCTCACCACCGCCTCCACATCATCAGCTGCTCAAGAATGGGTAGGATTGGACGCCAACAAGCACGCCATAGCTGTAGCCGCTGCTACGGCTGCTGTAGCTGAGGCCGCTCTGCTGCGGCTCATGCGGCGGCTGAGGTCGTTCGCCTCACTAATGGAGCTGGACCCGGCACTTCCGAGCACGTTAGCTTACCCGTGGCGGCGTCGGCTAGCGTCAGCCGCCATCTGGCAGCCGTAAAGATACAGTCTGCTTTCCGGAGATACCTGGTTAGCGGTTTGTTTTGAATTTTTTACCGTTTCTGCCCCTGGATTTCAGCTGAAATTACGTTTCGTGATGCTTTGTTAATTGGTTCGGAAGTACAAAAAAGTTTCGAACTTTAACG